TGAAGATGGGTTGAAACTATAAGAGGAAATCTTAACAGTTGGGCATATGTAAAATCCCACATTTGTATTCTAAAACCTGACTGTGTACATGCATTATGGGAAATTGATCCGACAGCAAATCATGAGGGAAAAACCTGTGACAGCTGGAATGAGCTTCACATAAGCAATGGCACAGAGAAAAGAGTGAGTGTCCCCAACAGAGGCCAGTCCCCACCTCAGTCCAGCAGCACTGTCACCTGTCTTGAGTGCTTTGCCTCGCAGTGACTGCTGCATCACAAGGGCATGGAAAATGACAGAAAATGGTCTGGGACCCACAGGCACTTGAGTGATAAATGAGCCACCCCTATATCTTTGAGTTTTATTGCAAAAGGCAGGCACCAGCCTTTGATGGAGAGGAGTCCTCTCTAACCTAGAGTGGAGCTGGCCTGCTACTGATGGAGGAATGACATGAAAGACTGCTGCTTAATTTCATGAAGTCTTTTCTCATTGCTGAGACAAAATACTTGACGTCCAAAGTGAAAGGAGGAAAGGTTTATTTGGCTCATGGTTTGTAAAGGTTTCAATTCACAGTTGACTGGCTCCAAGGCAGGACGGCAAGGAAGAGGGGCCTGGCAGGGGAGAAACAGTCCGAGGTGGGCAGAAGGCAGAAAGTAGCAAAGCAGTAAGGAAGCGGCAGCTGCAGCAGTCTACCTCTCACTTTTATCCCAAGCTACACCCCCATTAAGTGGCGCCCCTCTACCACATATACACATACACCCAAGCTGCACCTTCCCATCATCCATTCCCCAAACTCTGCTTAGCCAGTCAATGGACTGATTTAGTAACCACACTCCCTAGATCCAGCTGCCTCTGAAAAGCCCCAGCTATGACTATATAAGGCTTTGGAGGGACAGCTAGACACAAGCCATATGGCTATTATTAAGAAATCTAGGTACCTAGGGCCCAAAGGGATGGGACAAAGTGTTTCTGGAGAGCTACTCAGGAGCTCAAAGACCCCTGTCTGACAGGGAAGACCCATCCAAGAACTGTGTTTTGGAAAAGGATGGAGGCAAAATAGAGAACATTCTGGTTTGAAACTCTGATCGTATACTAGAATCATCCATCAGCTTTCTTGTTTAAAAGTCTAGCCTCAGATCAGATCTATTGAATCAGTACCTCAAGAGTATGGTTGGAATCTGTATCCCCCAGGTACTCTTCTAGATTGAGACAAAATAAATGTAAATCTTGTTTAAAACCTGAACTTTAAAAATGTTTTATTAGTGCATGTTTGTAATAATGCTTACATTCACCCCAGGGACTAGGTGCGTGTACACAACACATCTTCATCGCTTTTCACACCCTAGCCCTCCTCTCCCTTCCCCTTCCCTCCATCCCCTGGTCTTCTTCTTTTATTTTGCTCTTTATTTATACTTGAGGTTTCTCATATAAGTGAAACTATGCAACATTTAAGCTTGTGCACCTGACTGACTTCATTTAAACCTCAAATGTTTAAGAGGTGTTTTGGAATACCTTAGCAAATTTTAACAGAAATTGCTTTTTACCAACAAATGACTTTTAAATGGCCAAGAAAAAAGACAAAAGCAAATGAACAAAAGAAAGAGAATATTGGGGTGAGGGTACCAGGGGGTGGTACAAGCTACTGGGCTACTTTAGTGTGAACCAAACATGAGGCCTACTGGATGGGAATAACCTCTGCTCCTCCTCCTGGGCCAACAGCCTGCAGCCTGGCATCAAAGATCTTAGTTCTTTTTTTAATTATTATTAATTTTATTGAGAAATAAATAGCAATGAGACAGTTTCCAAACCGATTTGTCGGACAGTTTCAATAATTAATACATTGCATATTGTTGTCTTCGTAGTGGTTATGCACAGTACAAGATGCAGACATGATATCCTGTCCAAACACTATTAGTACAAATCTTTCTTCTCATTGAATTAAGAGAAAGTAGCTGTATATCTTTCCTATTTTGTATATACAGATATAAAGTGGTCCTCCATTTATATCCCTTTTTTTGTTTAGTTTTGTCAGAGATGGGTATTCCATTGCCATTTAAATATGTCCTTTGTGGATTAAGAGCTGCCATTCTATCCTGAGGCACTGCCACAGCTAAGGCTGCATCTTCTGGTGTAACATTAGCGCACAGTGACCCCTACAGGTACACTGTGTACTTTGAGGCAGCCCAGCCTCCCATCCACACTGGCAAGTGCAGGACCTCAAGAGAAGATGGTCTACCACCACATCCCACTGCCCACAATTACATGGGGCCCACATCAGGGTGCAGTTCCTAGGTAGAAGTGATGGCCCATGCTTGTAGTCCCACTACACAGGAGGCCATAGCAGGAAGATCACAAGTTCAAGTTCCACTTGGGCAACTTAGTAAGTACTCATCTCAAAATGAAAAACAGAGTTGAAGATGAAAACTCAGTACACAGATCCCCAAGTACAATCCCCAGCATTAAAAAAGAAAGAAAGGGCAGTTCTTCCTGCTTGGCCCACTCCAATAGTCTGAGCGCTGGATCTCAAAGTGGGGTCTAAATAGTAAAAGAAGACTGGCCAGACAGATCAGACTAAAGCACCTGTTTAGACAGAGCACAGCGGCCGGGGTTAGATCCCTGGTATGCTATTCCAGCCCTGTCCCTGGGATGCTCTCAGACAGTGATTAAGACTGGGCGTGGGGCTGAGGAGATAGCTCAGTGGAATAAGTGCTTGTCTGGCAAGCACTAAGGCCCTGAGTTCGATCCCTGGTACCACCAAAAAAAAAAAAAATAAATAAAAGACTGGGCATGGTGGCTCTTAACTGTAATCCCAGCATCTGGGAGGCTGAAAACAGGAAAATCACTGAATCTACATAGTGAGACCAATGAAATTACCAAATACCAAAAGAAATTTAATTAAAATAGTAAAAGAACCACCAGATCCCTGATCAACAACCCCAGATGATGACACCGAGGAAAGCAGGCCAGCTGGAGGCCAGCCCTGACCAGCTCAACCAGCAGGACCTGGGTGGCAGGTATAGATGCACTTCAGGGCCATGCAGGAAGAGCACACAGCCAGGACAGGAGGGCTGAGCAGGCACAGAGGGTAGGTATCAGGGCAGAGAAAGGTGGGGGCTGCTGCTGATGGGGAGTCAGTGATCCACATGAGGAAAGGCCAGGGGACACGGAAACATGCAGCTCTCTTCCAGCACAGGCTGTAAGCTGTGCCTGGCTCTGCAGGATGCCCTTCCCTCCGGATCAGACTGCCTGTCCTGCTGGGCTCTAATCAAAGGCCTAAGGGAAGAATGCAAGTCTTCGGTTGCTCAAAGATTTCAGGGTGAAATATTAGCAGGTATCTAGAGGCTAACATATATATCTACCTAACCTCTGCCACCTATTTCAGGTCCACTCTTACTACAAGCAAATTTGATCAAACAGCTTCAAGCCAAAAACCAAAGAGTTTATCTCAAGGGGGAGAAACACTAGGGAGGAAGCGTTTACCACAGACAGCTTCCTACAGCACAGCCACCCAGGCTGGCAGCCTTCACTCTTGCCAGGACTAGATATAAAAGCACACAGGCAAGACCTGGACTCTGCCAGCCAGCCCTGCTGGTCTGCAGGGTACTGATGTTCTTCTCCATCAAAGGAACACGTTACTGCTGAGAGGCGCAGAGATCCACTGCCACTGATATCCACAATGGGGGGGATTAAGTAACCTGATCCAGGGGAAAATCCTAGGCGCCACACAATATTACAGAGAAAGTTCGCTTGAGGCAGACTAGTAATGAAAATGCTGAGCTATCTGGGCTGGCCAAATAGCTCAGCGGATTAAAGCACCTGCAAGAAGGCACAGGGGCCTGGGGTTTGATCCTGGGGCCTGCCGAGCCAACCCTGCGCCCGGGGCGCTCCGAGATGGCAATTAAGACTGGGCGTGGTAGCATGCACCTGTAATCCCAGCTCTTGGGAGGCTGTAAACAGGCGGATCACTACTGAGCCCAATCTAGTAGTGAAAGCCTGAACCCTATAGACCCTTCCCTAAAATACAGAAAAAAAAGATAAAAATTCTTTAAAAAAAATGTTCAGCTAATAAGTCAAACATCAATGTTACAGACCAACAAAATACTGCATACAAAAATAAGGCCTTTTTGCATTACAACCCTTTACAATCAATGGCCAGGTAGTATATTTCATAAGAAATAAAATCCTAAGACACTTTAACTTACACATCTCCACCACCCCGGAGGAGAGGCAGGAATAAGAAGGGCTCAGGTGGTCATGTGTGGTGCTGGCAGGCAGGGCAGGACATGGTAGCAGGGCCAGCACCAGGCTGGCTGCAGACATGCACAGCGAGTGCCTAGGACTCGTCCCTGGAGGTGCGCCTGTGGACTCCTGGAGAAAACTCAGGCAACACCACCACCTCCCCAGTGAAGAGAAAGAAACAGAGTTTGGTCACAGTGACATTCTCTCTATACCTATGAGAAGGACCAGCACAAGTTAATGGGGAACGGTGTGACAAAACAGACGGTTAATAATAAGACTATCATGTTCCACTTCCCAAGTTTCCCTTTTCGCTCAGAAAAGGAGCAAAGTAAATCACTATCTTCTCACCACTACCTTAAAGACTTGATATCTCCATGAAAGACTAACACAAAGACATCATAAATTTTCTTGTGGTACCACTTGGAAAGCTAACAGTGGCATGACAGATTTCAATGAGTCTGTCTCCCCAAGATGTCTTACTATCACTGTTACACTACCACATGAAAGAACTTGGGTAAACCCAACTCTAGAGATCTGCTTGAGAAAAACAGCTGCCCTAAAAAAAAAAAAAAAAAAAAAAAAAACCCCTAGGGGGGGCCTGGCCCTAGCTCAGTCCTTTAAGTGGCTGCTTCCACAAAGCTGTCAGCCTCAGGTTGCTGGAGTTCGAACCTCACAACTCTCCTCACAACTCTCCCGCTGGCCAAAAGTGCCCTGAAGGCATTCGAGGAAGAAAAAAAAAAAAGAAAGAAAGAAAAACAGCTGCCCTTTCCCCCAGGATGCTAACAGTTCTCGCAGCTCTGGGCCCAAGCTTCCCCTGCTCTGTGCCATGCAGGTGGACCCCAGGCACAGAGGGAGCAAGGACACAGACACTGGCCCCATATGATTATGAAGTCCCCCTGGAGCCAAGCAGGGACACTCACAAACCCTATAAAGCATCATCTTTGAACTTTCATACACTTGCTTTGGCTGTTTCTTTCTAAGAGCTAACAAACATTCCATGTCTGAAGACATTAAAGTTCCTTTAGTTCATGTAGCCAACAAAAAAAAAGACTCATCTTACAGACACCACAGAAGCAAGCAGCAGGTACTTGAGTCCACATCTGTCAGGGAAAGTTTGAACTTACTTTCTGCCTTGTTTTTCTTAGCCCCCACAATTTGCAAATAACTTACTTGGAAAACAGAACTCCACAGGCAAGATTCAGAGCTCTCTGAATCTCAATTTTCTCACAGGTAAAATGGGACTGACTGGTCACTACCACAGGGGGTCACTACAGGACAATACAAGTAAAGTACCGAGTTTAGTGTGGGAAAACACAGTGAGCAGAAAACACAGGTGTTGGGTGCTTCTGAAGGTTCATGAGAGAAGAAATACATAAATGAATTATACTGTATACTGTTCTTAGGCGGGCTAATGGAAGATTTCTAACAGCTAATCAGATCCTAGGGAAACAAAACATCCAATAGCAAGCTTCAAGAGGCTGAGCAAACAGATATACCGAAGACACTATGATTTGGAGGCATACAAACAAACAGCACCTTTCTTCACACTATTCATCGAGAGGGACCTAAAGGCAATGCCACTTTGGTGACACAGTACTCATGTCAATTTGATGCAAGATCAGCTCTCTGTCTGCAGACTGACTGCTTCCTTACTGAGCAGTCCCCAAACTAAAATAATAATAACACTGAAAAAATAATTGTAGGTCATTCACTGTTCAGAGGGAATTTTAGCCTCAAATTTAGGATTCCATCATTTCTTTAAAGCAAGCCATGAAAACGCATGAGCTTGCAGAGGTCATGCCTGCTTCCTTACAGCGGACCAGCATTTATCTTCTGAGGTAACTAGGATGGCTTTCTTGTCTGGGTTTCAGACTTTTCCTTAGCTGTGAGTTCTTCTAGTTTCTTTTCATAGCAACTCAGGAAGTAATCATCTGGTTCAATCCCTGTGTTCTTCAAGTTTTCCATGACTTTTTCCAGCCTGTGCAGTGAACAGGCTCCCTCAATCTTTCTTGTGTTCAGGTACAGAGTAAATTTCTGGAAATCCAGGAGCTTACAGGTGTCCACTGCGCAGATATTCCTGATATTGCTAGTTCTATCCAACTGAGGGAAAAATACCAGTCCTGACAACTTCTCAAGGTCCTGGAGGCTCACTTGGAATTCCGTCAGCTGAGGCTGAAAGCCAATGGCTTCATTGGGCACCACGAAGGCCCCCAGTGCCAGCGGTTCAGTAGACTCGGGGCTTCTGCGCGCCAGGATCACCTTATAAAGGTGTGAAGGGACTGCTACATTGTCCTCACCAATCACCTAAAAACAAAGCAGCCGTGTTAGCCATGCTGATTCATGCAAGTAGTTCCCAAACTTTCCTTCAAAAGATTTATTAGCTATATTTCTAGAAATGCTCTTATAAGCTACTTTACCATATCCCAATGAAATAAAATTCAGTTGCCAACGGTAATAACTAAAAATAAAGACAGAGAAAGTGAGTATCTAACAGGTCAATTTTGATCACATTTTTTAAAATAACACCACCCCAAAGAGCAAGAGTCACAGTCTCTGCTCTGTCTGTATGACAAAGGACAAAGGGTTGCCATGAGTCAGTCCTGGTTTTAACGGACAAGAAAAGTTGTCATTTTCTTTTCATCTCATAATCAGAATCTGTTTCTCTAAACATTGAAAGGTCAAAACTGCTAGCTTGGGTACTCCCCGCTCTAGAAATGAAAACATGGCCTTGGTTTATAAAACTCACTAGGGATCTAAACAAACAGCTTTGAGAGGAGTCAAGACACCACAGCAACACTATCTCTGGTATCACCTGGACTGTGGCTCATTTTTTAAAATTAAGTAAATGCTAATGCTTTTGCTCAGAGTTTTGCATACTTTTAGGCTATCAAACACAGAACTTCTGAACATGTTGTCAAGCTGAACACTCTGGAAAGGTATTCCCACAATCAAGAAGCCACAGCCAGGGTGAGGCTGTGAAAATGACTAACTGCCTATAGAGGTTGCCTGGATTAATGATATAATATTATTATGAAACCTTTTCAAATTCCTTTTAGTAGACAGCTAAAAGGCTTCAAGTCCTTATCTGTTGTCTAAAAAAGAAAAACTGAACCATTTACTTAATGGTCCCCAGTAAAATGACATAGCCCAACTAAACTATGCACATGGCACCTCTGCCCTTCCCAGATCTCTCCCCAGTAAGAGCAGTTTTCCTTTCCTGGTCATATAGTCCTGCAAGCTGCAGGATTCCCTGTTGGGAATCCAAAGGAGGCAATGAAATGAGAACTACAAAGCAGATTCTTTCTGCTCTCTTCAAACTCCCACCTACGTGGCATGGAGCCTGGGAACTCCATGGCCATCTGCTGTCTGTCTCAAGACAGCTTCTGCCCTGACCACTGCAGGGCCAAAGGAAAGACCCACCCACAGGAAGGGTTTCTCCAACCAACTCTCTCTAAACTGACTGCTTTCATGCAGGAGGAGATTTATGAAACTAGACAAACTATAGGCACAAAATACTCATTCTAAAAGTCCTGCATGCAGCTAGGAACATAGCATACTTATCAAGCAAACATACACTGAAGGTGAGCCATATGGAAGTGTACAAGCGGCCCACAGATCATCCACAGAAGCTAAGCCAACAGTGAAACTCAGAGGCCCTGGCCCTGGTCCTGTTGGAAATGCACAAAGGAGTGTAATCTGCCGGTTCTTGAGACTCTACCATCTAGAGGGAGCCAATACCCACAGCTTCTTGTAGGCAGACTACAGCTAAACATCAAGGCACAGCCCAGATAACAGCACTCCAGAGGCTCCGGGAAGGTGGGCACCAGAATGTAGACTACAAAGAGTCACACCTCACAAGATGGGGAGGCTGGACTGGGTTTCAAGGGCTCTAGGTGCCAACTGGGGACCCAACAGTTAAGCAAACTCTTGGCGCCACCTTGTGGGCATTCCTCAGCACCAAAACAGCTCACATAGTAAAAGCCTTCCTTCCACACCATTCACTTCCTCATGGACTCCTTGTACTGCAATTTTCCAGTGTAATTAACTGGTCATGCCCATTTGCTGCCAACAAGGGCTCCTAATTAAGATAATTAAATTCCAGGAAAAAATAAAAAGCTTGACATTTTAAGTTCCATAGCTTTACTGCACCGAAATGAACTATTTTAGGTTTGTTTGCCTTTAATGATGAGAAGTGAATCCAGGTCCTTGGCCATGCTAAGCACATGCTGTACTGCAGAGCTTTACACCCAGCCCGTGGCTACCTTGAAGAAACTTCACTGACACTGAAATTTCTACTAGGACTGCAAGATGCAGTCCTTTCAGACATGACCTTCTTAGGATGATTCAAAAAGTAAAATATTATCACTAAAAATAAGTAGAAAAAAACCTGAGCTACCATCTCTTTTATGATTCAGTCAGCTTTATTTTCAGCAAACATCTTTAAAATGTCTAAAGCAGGAATCATCCCTACTTGGAAATACAAACCAGTTTCTTTTTTGAATTGAAGATTTAAAACAGAATTCAACCTTAACATATTTTAGGGCTATCTTCTTGGCAGAAAACTCAAGTTACATAATAATTTTTTCCACTTTGGAGAAAACAAAAGACTTCCAGAAAATGTTCCTGGTCACTCACAGGCACTGAAGTCAAAGAGTGCAGTGGGCTAAAAGCTCAGAGACCTCACTGGTATCAGGCTGAAGTCTGGACCACCCACATCTTGTTTATTTATTCAGGAATCCTGAAGCAGCCTACTTGCAGAACTGATAGGACACAATGATAGGTCAGCTAAAAAAAGACTTCAAAATCTGCAAGACCAAGGTAAAGAGGTATTTTTGTGGTAAATGTCATTCAAAAAGCAGGATGCCAACTGAAAAGGGAGGTTTTAGAGCAGGACAATGGAGAAACATGGCATCAAGGAAGATTAAAACAGTGAAAGGTCTCTTTTCAGAAAGAGAAATCAAATTAGGCACAAATAATGCCCGAACGAATGCTTTCTCGGGCTTAACCTAAACAAATCTTTAGTATCAACAGATCAGCAACAACCCTTTCACATGAGATTTAGGAACAAAAACACCTCAGAACGAATCTTTGCTGCTGGGGGATTACCTCAAAGCACCAAACTCTTCTCAAGACTAACAAAAATGGGAAATCCCCTGGGATGACGAGAAAATACAATCTATGTAACAGCTCTAAGCTGCCACTCATCTGTGATCCGAAGTCAGTTTTCTCATATGCTGGCCTGAGCTTGTTTTCTTCCATCCAAGAGACATAAATAATAATAACTTACTTCTGTCCCCACAATCAGAAGAGGATGGCAAGAAGCAATACCCAGGCTAAGCGCATCATTTTCAGCATCACATATATATGGTTACTGTCCCTTCAAATAACTATTAAGCAGCATCTTGAGAAAAAAAAATAAGTTCCTACTAGAATCAGACAGATATATCTGGTGACATTCCCCTAGCAAGACAGAAAAAGAAATCCCAAAAACAATACTGCTGGGCACACCAAGAGAGCAAGCCCTCTCACAGCTGTGCCAACCAAGTGAGAGAAAACCTTGGGAGTTCGGTAAATCAGGAATCTGTATTTGAGAAGACAGAAGAGAACAAGAGGGACCCATCAGGTGGAGAAAAGTCACAAAGAAGTGTTGTCACCCTAGTGTCATCTACAGCCCCAGCAGGTGCTAGTGACGCCGCTCAAACACTGGAAGCCACACAAGTACCATCTTCTCAGACTCTTGATGTAAAATAGCTTAAGGCCAACAGGTAATAAACGATGGTGTGGGTGGAGAGCAGGTACAAGTAGTATTTGCTAGCATGCAGAAACTGCAGTTTCTACCTAGCAGTGGGCTGCCCCCTGCTAGGTAGGGTAGGGGTCAGGAAATAACCGGTAACTTATTTTATAATTAAGGCAGAAGCAGAAATAAGTTTTTCCTAAATATAAAACAGGAGACTTAAAAAAAAAAAAAAAGTACTTCTTTGTATCCATCACATTATGCCTGAAGACTCCTGGGGGCAAGTTTTCAATTTCCTCCCCCTCTAAAGGCAGGTGGTAAGCGGCTAGAGAAGGAAGGTAAGACTAAGTACTTGGAACACCTCCACCACCACCACCACCACCACCACCACCACCACCACCACCACCACCGTGTTGTAAGATCTGCAGTTCACTTTCTCGTCAGGTCATTTCTAATGTTCATGCCACAATCTTCAGGTATGTTTCACTTGTTTGGAATCAATCTCTTCTTGAAATAGGCACATCAGAGAAAGCACACAGATGACCTCAGTTACAATAAAGGGATGAGTCTGATTAGAGCTGTCAGACGACTCGCTTCGGATAAAGTCACTGCTCCTCCTCTTCCCTCAGGCTCACATTCACTCAAGTCCTACGATGCTGAGATCCTCTCCCACATATTCTAGGAGACATTTGTGCCTGGCTGGAAGGAATCCTCCTCATGGCCCATTTTCTGCTGTTTCTGCATGCTAGCAAATATTACGTGTACCTGCTCTCCACCCACACCATCATTTATTACCTGTTGGCCTTAAGCTTTTTTACATCACGATCACAGGAGTCTTTTTATCGTAGACTCTTGAGAACCTCACAGAGCAATGCTATGAATGACTGGTGACTCTCTTCAAAGGCGGCAACAGCAAGGCCCACGTCTGGATCTCCCCCTTGACAAATGCTAGCTGCATCACTCGGATTTGACCCCTACGATGCTGTTTCCTTGTCTAAGAAAGGTTGTAGGGGCCTGACTGAGACAGCATATACACAGCTCCTTACATACTGCCTGGTGTCTGTGGCCTCAACGCCAGTTTACTGGGCCGGCCAAATAGCTCAGCAGATTAAAGCACCTGCAAGCAGGTGCAGGAGTCGGGGGTTCGATCCTCGGGGCTGCTGTGCCAGCCCTGCCCCCGGGGCCTGCTGAGACAGCAATTGAGACTGGGCATGGTGGCACGCACCTGTAATCCCAGCTCTTGGGAGGCTGTAAACAGGCTGATCACTACGTGTCTGATCTAGTAGTGAGACCCTGAACACCCTATAAATCTTTTCCTAAAATTAAAAAAAAAAAAAAATGTCAGTTCAAGTACTTCCCTTCATCTGAAGGATGAACATAAATATGATTCACTGCCTGGATAGAAAACTGAACAAATACCCATTTTCACTGGGTATGTTCTCCTAAAGTAAGGTTTAGAGTATAGCTGTAAACATGCAGTAAACAGGAAATGGCTATGCAATAAAACAAAACCCTTTCCAAGCATAATTGCAAGGCATTCCCTTGGAGACAGGAATTCATGATTCAAACT